TGGCAAGTATTGGTTACCTAAAACTTTTGCCTATGTGGAACATCTAATGCTCCCAATCCCCTGATGATACTAGGTCAAGAATTACCATCGTTAATTAAGATACAGTCTCTGTTTATAAAATGTTCTTAATCTAGAAAAGGACTTACTCATGCTAATTAAAATGCAAAATAAAATAAAGTAAAATGAAGAGGTTAACAGCCAAGTGCCATAGGGTTACACAATTTGATGGGTGGGTGGGGTGAATGGGAAGGATCTTTTATGGAAAAACAATGTATTCAAACTTTGTAAATAAATCAGAATAAAATTTAAAATTAAAAAAGCCAAGAGTTAGAGGAACAAAGAAGGAATATTTACCCTCTCATTTGGACTCTATGGAAACTGCACAGGAGGTTCCTTGAGCAGGGCTTAAGTAGTAAGGTAGACAGGAAGAGAAGAAACAGGGCGTGTCAGAGCAGATATAGGGAATTTAGCCTGAGGAAGCAGAATAAACAAAAGGAAAGGTATGAGAATGAGTAACTACAATAGTCTCATGTGGCAGGATCTGAGTGTTTAGAAGACAGGAAGTAGTACAGATACATCAAAGTGGAGAGATCATTTAGGGCCAGATCATACTAGACTTTAAATGCTAGCCAGGGAGTCAGACTTAAATGAGTAATAAGTTACCAAGAAAGACTTTAAAGGCAAGAATAGTGAAACTTTATCTCACATACTTTGGACATGTTGTCAGGAAGGGCCAGTCAGAAAAGATATTACACAGGGAAAGGTGGAGGGTTAACGAAAGAGAGGAAGACCCTCAACAAGATGGATTGACACACTGACTATAAACGATGAGCTTGAACATGACCAAGATCATGAAGATGACTCAGGGAAAGTCAGATTTGTTGTTCATAGGATTGCTCTGAGTCATAGTCAACTCAATGACATCTAATAATAATAACAACCAAGACTTTGGAGGGAGAAAAAGTCATGATACAATCAAGTGATGACAAAGTCAACCAGGAAGGTGAGTTCCAATGGTACTTAAGGAAGTGGAAAATGGAATCTAGGGAAACAAATTATGAGGCTACTAAAATAGTTTGGGATGTTATTAGCCCTGACCCAAAAGTGGAGAGTTCAGGTCCACCAGCTGTTCCAAGGGAAAAAGATGAGATGTCTCTTTCTGTAGAGATTTACAACCTTGGAGATCTGATGGAGGGTCTCCAAGATTTAGAATTGACTTGATGGCAGTGGGTTTGGTTTGGACTTTATACCAAGAGAGCAAAGAGCCCTAATGGTACAACAGATAAGTGCTTGACTGCTAACCAAAAAGTCTAGGGTTCAAACTCACTAGCTACTCATGAAGGAAAGACGTGGTAGTCTGCTCCCATAAAGATTGTTGTTGATTGCATGATTCATAGCAACTTTATGAACAAAAGCCCTGAAGCCTTTCTATATTGTTTCTCAAAGTTCATAGAGTTTCCAGAGGCATGTTGTTTAAGAAGGGGATGCCACTCCTGCTTCCAACTGATAAGGATTACAGCCTCAGAAACCCTAATATATCTTGGGGTTGTTGTTGTTTTTTTAAATCCATTAATTCAATGGTAATATGTATTCTAAGGGAACAAGAATAAAAGAAAGATCTGATCATGAGAAACACTAAGGGAGTAACAGCTACAAGATGACTAACTAGATGAACAATGAGGATTCAAACATGGTTCTGAGGCTACTCATCCTGGTGACTTGTCTTTAAACTGTGATTAGGCACAATGGAGGGAAGAGATCATTTTTAGATAGTTGCAAGGAAAAGATGTATCACAATGCTTAGATATAGGTCTTTTGTATGATTAGAGGACTAGTTCAATAGATGTTTATAGCTGGGCTATATATATAGCATATACAAATATGCGAATATGGATTTGAGAGATTATAAAGCAGTATTGCTCCTAATATGTAAACCATTCATATTTCTTGACTGTCTTTCTTTTTTCATTTCCATTTGACCACAATGACCAGTATGTTCCTGAGCACCTACCCTAGCCACCCACCTTCTATCTTCTGAAAGATTTATAACTCAGTTTTTTTTCACTCATCCAAATTAGTGCAAAGATACCACTGCTGACTTTAAAAGAAATCTCTTTAAGTTGTAATATATTCCAAAGCCTAATTTTAAAATCGGTTCTTCTTTCAAAGTTTATCACTTGCAATATTAGAAATGAATACCAAATTCTATATAATTAGTCAAAACTTTATAATCAGAACTTTTCCTGATAGATGGCTTGGGTGGAATTGTTGTGTGCTGTTGAGTCAGAACCGGCCCATAGCTGACCCTCCAGAGGGTTTTCAAAGGCAGTTAATCACACAGGAGGAGACTGTGCATTATTCTCCCACAGAACAGCTGGTGGATTTGAACCATGTGCCTTTGGAATTATAGCATAGTTTCTTGTCCCTAGGTCACCAGAGGTCCCTGGGTGTGTAAATAATGACAAAATGGAATTGAAATAATATTTGGGCTTTTAGTGCCATCAATAAACATTTAAAAGTCCCCCAAATAATTCAGAGTGAAAAGGAGCCTCTCTCTTGCTAAATAACCAAAGCTCCAGATTCAAAAGGGAAGTTTTGTTTCTATTATACTGATAAAAAATAATGTTCCTTAAAGGTGAAACTTGGTGTCACATACTTTGAACATGTTGTCAGGAGAGACTAGTCTTTGGAAAAAGGCCTCATGTCAGGAAAGGTAAAGGGTCAGTGAAAGAAAAGATGACCCTCAACAAGATGGATTGATACAATGATGTTAAACTGGACTCAAGAATGTCAAAGATCATGAGGATGACATAGGATAAGACACAGTTCAGACTTGTTCACTGTGAAGAGACTAGATGACACTCATTATGTGCCTTCGAGTTGCCTGCACCTCATAGCAACCCTATGTACAACAGCTCTGAAGTCTGCCCTGTCCTGAGCCAGTCTCACTGACTCCTACACACCTACCCCCGATACTCCCAGTTACCCTATCAACCCATCTCATTCAGGGTCTTCCTCTCCTGCTCTGTCCATCCACCCTTCCCAAGTATGATGTCCTTCTCCAAGGATTGGTCCTTCTTGGTCACGTGCCTAAAGTATTTGAGACGGAGCTTTAATTTATGAAGGAAAAGGATACTATGGAAGGTATCTGGATTTCAGACACATCAAGATTTTGCCCATGTAAACTAGAATGCAGTGAGTCATTAACCTCTAACTGAGTGCTCTAAACGGAGTCAATAAAGTTTTAAATGATTTTAACTGAGTGGCTAGCATTAACAACTAGTCTTTTGGAACTTTAATAATCTGTGATAAAACCCTATGAACTTATTTTTTCATTAATAACTTCAAGTGAGGAGAAGATCTCAACTAGTATATTGTGAGGTATTTCTCTTTAGCCTAATCTTTTGAAGACACTTACCACCAGGGGCCTCAGATATAAGATTTCTTGAGTAATAGTTCTTCTATTTAAATGGCTATTTAAAATTTCAGCTTTCAATTTTATCATTGAAAGTATGAATACAATTTCAATACTGTACTGTACTTGAATGCCAGTCTAAAGGTCGCTTTGGAAGTCCTCTGTGTGTGTATTTGTTTATTTCAGATTGAAGTTTGATCATTAACCTAGATTAGTACTTTAAGCTAGTATCAGTGGGAGGTTTCTTTGGTTGGCAATCTCTTAACATTCAGAGCACTCTATTCTTTTGCTTATGATAATTGGTCTCAGAACATGTAAAGTAGAAGTGATACAAGCCTTGATAAGCATGGGAATGACATGCATAATCGCATTCTCACAACATTGGGAAAGATGTTTCTCCTTTATTATTTTAAAAAGATTTATTTTGATAAGGGTAGAGAAGAAGAAAGGTATTATAAATGTTAAACTTGCAGTGATAGCTTTTGTATAATTTTAGGCTCATTTTAACTGACACAAATTTCTATAAGTTCTCCCTGTAATTATCATTGCTAACCTGATCAGTTTCCTGTGAAACCTTAGAGCATTTTAGACATTCTGTATTGCTTTTGAAAATTGAGGGAGGTGAGGGGTGGAAAGGAATGACATTTCCTGGATTTAATGTACAGGTTTTACATTTGGGCTTGTGGCTATTATTGGTCTCAAATTATTAAATTTGATGTGCACATCTTCCTGCATTCTAGTAGAGAAATCATAATGTAGTTTATCTCTTTGTAAACTAAGAAATGTTTAATAAGATATTTAATTTCTGAATCCCACATTGTTCAAGATGTAAGCTCCAGTTTCTACCATTCAGGGAACTGTTTTATTTTCCTTCTATAAGCATTCATATAAGATTCAAATAGCTACTCAAACTCAGTACTGTTAACCTGAACAAAGGAGTAGATAACCCGTAGCTTACTTATTAGAATGTGAGTTTAAGATCCACATCCTGTACATGCTTGTGAAAGCAGGAGTGGCATACACTTCCTAAACATCATGCCTCTGGAAACTCTATGAACTTTGAGAAAATGACAATAGTTCTAGAAAGGCTTCAGGTCTTTTGTTCATAGGGTCGCTATGAATTGTGCTCAACTCAACGTCAATCAACAACAACAATATACATGCTTGTACCCTCTACAGCTGTTATATACCTAGTAAATGTTCAGTGAGTGTTAATTGAATGAATAAATATCCTTCCTTTGTCTCCTTTTGAACAACAGATCTGAACCATGCCCTGGCAATTGGATTTTTTTACTGAGATTGTTGTTGTTTAGTGACATCGAGTTGCAGGCGACGACTCATAGCGACCCTATGAAGGAGAGTCCTCAATGCTTGGGTGCCTTTCATCTCTCCAGGTTCATAGGGTTTCCAGAGGCAAGCTATTATGGAAGTGGATGCCACTCCTCCTTCCAAGCTTGTTTTAATTGGGGAGCTCCACTCCACTCTCTGTCCGCATTGGGTAACCAGCCATTAACACATTTGACACATCAGTGTCACAGATACTGATATTATGCCTAGCTAAAATGGAATTTCTTTTCCTTTACAGGTGCAGGAGAGATTGTTGCAATAATGATTGGCAATCTGAAAGGCACAAAAATTCTACAGTCTATCCAAAATGGCATCCAAGTCACAATGGTCATCGAAGTAGGAAAAAAGCATGGCCCGTGGGTGAATCATTACTCAATTTTCTTCGTCTCTGTATCATTTTTTATAATTACAGCAGCAACTGTGGGCTACTTTATCTTTTATTCTGCTCGAAGATTAAGGAATGCAAGAGCTCAAAGCAGAAAGCAGGTTTGTAATAGTCTTTTCTTTGAATTTTAAGATACTTCTAATATTATTAATTATTATTGTGTATTTAATATATTTATATAATATAATATATATGTCTCTATATAATATAGTCATATATTCTATTTGTATTAATATATTTAATATATATTAGTATTATTATCATTAATGTAGTAATATTAATATTAAGACACTTAATTTTAGACTCAGTACTATGCATTTACTATATTTAGTTTCCTAAACAATGATATTGGAAGCAGGAGTGGTATCAACTTCCTAAACATGCCTCTGGAAACTCTATGAAATTTAATAAATGACGAGTTATAGAAAGTCTTCAGGCCTTTTGTTCACAGGATCACTATGAGTCATACTCAACTCGATGGCAATCAACAACAACAACCACAACAATGATGTCTGTATATGCTTTGTGAACCCTAGTAGTAGTTTTTGAAAGTGCACCAACTTCCATCTCCTCAAATCTTTATTTTGTGTTGCTTATCTAGGAATTCTCCCTGCTTGACCAAATTTTCTAACACTTCCTAGGGAGAATAGCTAGCATTAAATTAGATATGGGTATAAATACTTATTGTTGTTGTTGTCGTTGTTATGTGCCATGGTGTTGACTATGACTCATAGGACTCTGTGCCCAATAGCTCTGAACCCTGCTCTGTCCTGAGCCAGTCTCACTGTCTGATACATCTACCCTCGTTACCCCAGTTACTGTGTCAATCCATCTCAGCTGGGGTTTTCCTCTCCTGCAGTACTCATTGACCCTTGCAAGCATGATATCCTTTTCCAAAAACTGGTTTCTTTTGGCTACATGCCCGAAAAATGTGAGACGAAGTCTCAAAATCCTTGCATCTAAGGTGCAGCTTGGTTTCACCCTCTCTGTGACAGACCTGTTAGTTCTCTTATGGTCTTTTAAATAAACATTGTTGTTCATTGTAAAAACTGTATATATTCAATCTAGAAAATTTACAGAGTACAAAGAAAAATACGTTTACTCCATCCAGACCTCATGTAAGGTAACTATAATTACCACCCATAGGTAACCACTGTTATTTTAGTGTGAGTCCTTTCAGTTTTTCTTTTACGTGTGTGTGTGTGTGTGTGTGTGTGTGTGTGTGTGCTTGTGCATATGCTTATCTGCATTTCAATAAGGAGAAGATGGGAAGAGACCAGTTTAAATTGTGTGGAATTGTTGTGTGCTTCAAGTAGAGTCACATATTCATAATTCCTATTCCAGTACAACATGGATGGATAAACAAGTAGAAAATACAGAAATAAAAAAGCAAAAATATCAAAGCATTATTGAACAGGGAAGTATTTCAAAAGCTATTCTCTTGACCCATCTCTCCTTCTAGCTACTTGTCCCCTTTCTCTCATCTTTACAGAAAAATTGCTTGGAAAACTTTATACAGTCACTAATTTCTCTTCTTCCATTCTTTTTTCTTTTCCTAAAGCCAGTCAATTCAGCAGTAAAGGGTTGCATACCAACTTTATTTGCACTAATATTAATAGTTTTTGATAACCCACTACCATTGTACCAGCCCTTCCATTCTCTTGTAAACCTATTCCAAGCAGACTTTGATACCCTCATCCCACTGAAAACTGCTTTTGTTAAGGACCCTCATGCTGCTAAAGCCAATTATCATTTCTCAGTTTTCAGCTTTTTTTTGATCTATCATTTGGTACAGTTGATCCCTTGCACCTTCATGAAACACTTTCTTTTCTTCACTTTCAAAGATCATCATACTCCTTGGTTTTTCTTCTGTCTCTCCAGCCACTTCTCAGGCTCCTTTGCAAGTTTCCCCTTATCTCTATGACCTTTTAACGTTGGAATGACCTGTGGCTCAATTTTTTCCCCATCTCTTTTCAGTCTAATTCCTAGGGTGGGTTTAGCCATTTTCATCTATGTAGTTATTACTTTCAAATTATATCTCCACTTCAGATCTCTGCAGTGGAATAGCTGGGTCACATGAGATTTCCATGTTCAGCTCCTTGAGAAAATGCCAAACTGCTTTCCAGAGTGGTTGCAACCTTTTACAATCCCACCAGCAGTGCATGAGAGTTCCAGTATCTCTACATCCTCATGAATATTTATTGCTTGCTGTCTTGTAAAACTTTGCTACTGCTATTAGGGTAAAATGTTATCTCGTTGCTTTGATTTGCATCTCTCTGCTTGCCAGTGATTTTGAGCATTTCTTCATGTGTTTGTTGGCAAACCACATGTCTTCCTTTGTGAAGAGTCTTTTCATGTCTTTTGTCCATTTTGTTATTGGATTATCAGTCTTTTTCTTGTGGAGGCCCTGTAGTATTCTGTAAACTAGTGTTATAAAACCCTTGTCTGAGATATCATTGCCAAATGTTTTTACCCCAGCCTGTAGGTTTCCTTTTACTCTACAGGGAAAAAGTTTTGATGCACATGGGGATTTGATTTCTCATAGATCCCATTCATCAATTTCCTCTTCTCCTGGTTGTGTACTTCTGTCTTATCTTTGCAAGTCTATTTATGGCATAGGCTAGGGTTTCTCACTTTAGTCCCATTTTGTCTTTTACAATCCGTATGGTTTTAGGTTTTACCCCTAAGTCTCTGATCTCCCTTCCGCATGAATGTTTAATAGGCATTCAAGGTTAATGTGCCCAAACAGAGTTCCTCGTTCCCAAACCTACCCCTCCTAGTCAGATATAAGCCCCATCAGTAAATCCTGTTGGTTCTACATGGTATTTTCATAATCTGAGTACTTCTTATCATTGTCTCTTACTTGCATTGAAATTGGAATCCATCACTGTCATCATTTACTTGTTATGAAATCTGACTACTGCTAGTAGCATAAGAACTTAAGAGAGGATAATGTAAATCAAGATTAGATGAAGACTGGTGTTTATCAATTCTGACACTCGCCATTTCTCCCATGGACTCTCTTCTTCTCTTTAAGATCTAATAATCCATTGTAATGGCCACATAAAACTCACAGATCATATTTACAGTGGTTTCCAAAGGAAGAGAATAAAATTGGAGATCAAGATCAATAGGCAAATCACTCAAGATTACAAAATATGTAGACAAAATCTCCAAACTTTAGTTCAAGACAGCTCTTTCCACTACTTTTAGCCATGCCTCCCCTAAGTTCGCTGTTGACAGGTTCTTCATGACCCTGCTTCAGCTACCCCAGGCTCTGCTGTTTGGCCCTTTCTGGGCCTGTCTCACTGTTGGTTTTTTCCCTTGCCCTTTTTGAGCCTCTTGCCATCTTCAGTGTTATATACAGCCCTTTCCCTTTACAGATCTTTTAGGAGATTCCTTGCCAGATCTCTCTTTCTCTGCTTTTTCCCTTCTTCTTTCTGTTTCTTCTCTTTCTACTTTTTCTGCTTCTAAAATCTGTATGAGACTGGCCCCTTAAATATACAAACTCATTGTACATTTTAAGGCAAGGCATTCCCACCAGAGTCATAAACTGACCAGGCTCCTCTTTGTAAGCCAGAAACACATCATTTGCACAGTGGGCTATAATTAACCTCATATGCATAGTCTATTGACCAGTCCCTGCAAGGTGTATACCATCCACAGGACAGGCGTCTTTCTGCCTAGGACCAGAAAAAAGTATCAAATCCAAGTTGTTTACTGCTTACCCAGGAAATATCAGCTAATCTGGACAAAAGTAACAATTACTCCAGAGTGGAAAAACGGGCAAAAATACCTCATCTGAAATTAGGAGGGGCATATATGCGAAGTTATTTTTCAAAAAAACCAAGGCAAACGCTCACATAAACTAACTCACTTCACTATGCTTACCTCACTCTCAAATCTATTCTCAACACTAGAGAGTAATAATATGCTTTTCCAGAGTATCCAGGAAAGACATCATGTTTATAAATTACTATAATTGGGACAAAGATTCGCACCACTGGACCAATTGGCAGCATCAGGATGGATGGTGAAGAGATTGAGATTGTTCACAGCTTTAGTCTGCTTGGCTCCAACACTCTTGGCACCAGCAGCCAGGAAATTAAAAGATGTATTGTGACGGGAAAGTCTGCTGTTAGGGACCTCTCTACAGTACTCTAGAGCAACGGTGTGTCTCTGGAGACTAAGGTGCATCTGATACAGGCCTTGGTTATGCGTCAGAGAGCTGGACAGAAGGAGAATTGATGCTTTTGAGCTTTGGTGTTGGAGAAGAGTGCTGAGGGTGCCATGGACTGCCAAGAAAACAACAGATTCATCCTGGAGAGGGTTAAACCAGGCTGCTCCTTGGAGGCAAGGATTCTGAGTCTTCGTCTGACATACTTTGGTCATGTTGTAAGGAGACACCGGTCCCTGGAGAAAGACATCATGCTTGGGAGGGTGGAGGGTAGGCGCAGGAGGGGAAGGCCCTCTGGGAGATGGATTGATTCGGTGACTGGGGCAATCAGGATGAATGTGTCGGAGACAGTGAGATTGGCATAGGACAGAGCAGAGTTTAGAGCTGTTGTACATAGGGTCACTATGAGTCACAAGCGACTTGAAGGCACATAAGAACAACAACAACAATAGTTGGGACAATAGAATGTATCTTATATATACTGAGAAATCTCTTGTAAAGTTATGAAATCCTAGCCACTTCAAGCATTATTTCTCCAATAAGCAAAGGCAAATCTACTTTGGTTTTTATGTAGTGGGTGTGGGATAATTTCTGCTTAGAAATAAAGTTAATTGAATTTATAAATCTATGAGAAATTGAAATTTTATTAGAAAGCATGTGGTAATGAATAATAGTTATCTCAGTGCTTAAAGTTAATTGACTTTTGTCCTTCTCCTCATAGAAGTGGCTTATCACATAGGTGGCAGGTCCAGCCTGTTACTAGGTCTGGTCAAAAGGATGTTTAAAATTCCTATGCCAGGCATTCAATGTTTTCATGCTATGTTAATATTTGACATTTGTATGCTGTACTGGTTTTATCTCAAAAGTTGAAAAGATATTGGTGCCCAGTATGACTAACTACGCAAAGGTTATAGTTCCAATGAC